ACTAAAATCCCAATTCTTGGTATCCATTATATATAAATTATATCAATTTAAATCATATTTTATTGAGGAATGTAACTAAGATATCAATATCATTAAGAAAATTTTTAATGGAATAAAAGAAAGATTTTTTCTAGAATAAATGTTTGAATTTTGAAATAATAATATGATGTCATTTAAACAGTTTTCAAAAAACTTAGAGATAAATAATAATTGTAAAATTCTTTTTTTATGATTTTTTTTCTCAATATTTAAAATATATTTGTACAATTTATTTATGGTTTTCAAAACATTTATATATATCTATCTTTAATTTTATTCTTTAATTCATCTAGAAAGAATTAATTCTAGAAAACAATTTAATTACTGGAAAAAAGTAACAAAAAGAGATGGTTGAGATATATTAGCTAAAAAAAATCAAGACAAAGATTTTAGATCTTTATCCTCTATTATATTTAATTAAATTTGTACCAATATCTAGAGATTAGTTTTTAGCAGTTACTTGCCTTTGATTAAATTGTAAGTTTATACAAAATGATGCAAGTGGTTTCAAATTGTTTTCGTAGATTTTACAATTTATTAATAATTTTAAAAAAATTAAGTTTTCCTTGAATGTTTATCTGATTCTCTGATTAATATTAAGTGTGACTCATAATTTCTACTTTATTATGATATAACATATATTTTTATTAATTCATTTCAATTGTAATCTCAAAAACAAAAACTCTTATCCTCTCATGCTGAAAGATGAAGAATCTCAACCAATAATTTAAGTTCTAAGATGCTAATAGATTAAGATGATTATAATAAAAATAGATACAATTCCATGAATGAGATAAATGACTCTGATAATCGGACATCAAGTCTCGAGATTTCAAACAGAGATCATTAAAATTTTTTATGAAATCCTCCAACATGTTAAAAAGACATTAAATAATAATTGTTTGATTTATAGAAAGAACTGAGATGCTTTTTTATCTGCTTATTAAGATTTTAAAGGAATTATATTCGAATATTATAAAGATAATTAATCTAAGATTACTAATCTGATTTAATTTTTTTTTTAAAGCCTATAAAGTTATTATATTGATATAAAGAATAATAAAATAAATCTTTAAAAGATAAATATGGAATATTTATAGAATAGGTCTTTTCCTGCAATTTAGATTTAAGAAAGCCATTTATTTTTTGTGGAACACATAAATTTTATTATTATATCGTTAGTGATAATAAGAATTGTTTTGTTTTCGTTAATATAAATTGAAAGAGCCAGAGCATAAATTAATCATTTACTATTAATAGATCTTTGTTGGTTTATAGGGATAAATTAACTATAAATTAATTTTGATTTAGTTCTATTTAAAAAAAAACATTAAGTTAAGTATCAGATAAAATTAATGTTTACAAAATTATTTCATTTATATAATTATTGATAAACTATTCTTCTTACAATCAATAACTATAAAGATTAATAATTGTATTAATTTAATAAAGAATCTGAAATTAATCCTAAATATTAGTTTTTAATATTTAACAAAAAGTGTTTCCTATTTATTCCATTCATCAACTAGTAATCATCAAAACATTTAGAATTTTTATCATTTTTTATGTAACCTTTTTGAATTAATCATTATTAATTAATTATTTTTAATGTGTGTGTGGACAATATTCAAAACTGCCCATAAATTTAATTTTGTTAATTTATTCTTAAACATTAAAATTCATCTTTTAATACTAAAATTCATTAAATACATTAAATAATTTAATGATATTTATTAATTATGAGATTTATATTGATCTAAATATTTAAATATGATTCATTAATTTTTTTACGAATGAAAATTTCTTCATGTTATTTGTTAACAATAATAGTTGTTTAGTATTCAGTTTCCTGGACCATAATCAGTTTACCATCAATGAATCCAATTGCTATTGAATCAATAAAAAATGATAGATATTCCAGAGCTAATTGTGCTGGGTTTGGAGTTTGGAGTAAATATGTGCCACTAAGTAATATTATATAAATCGGAGAGATTGGAATATTTGATAGTAGTTGCTTTCATTTGTTTAGAATTTAGGATTCTATAAATAATGAATTGCATTTTCTATAATATGATTGTGTCAATTTTGAGTAAAAAACAATATAGAAATATTTTTAATTTATAGGTAGAGATGGTAGTTATTTAAAAGAGGAAATGCAAATTAATTAAGCACAATATGAGTCTGTATGGTATTTTTAAGGATTTATTACCATTCCTTCATAAAAACAAATCATAATATATATATGTTAGGAAAGGACTTAGATATATTCAAAATCTATCTAAATTGAATTTCCTTATGAATAAATAAATTCTAATTTAATAATAGGAGGGGATTTTAAAGTAAATCAGAATTCACAATTTTATTAACTTGAAAATAGTATACTTTCATACTTTCCAGGAAAAATAAAATATCTTCTTGATGTTTACTTGAATGATCCTGACTAGTTCAAAAATATAATTTTATAAAACGATGAAAAGTTCTGTTAGTGTGTATAATATGCAAATACTGATATAGGAGATGTTATAATATAAAAATATGATTAATTTGAATTCATACCTTAACAAATTAATTGCTAATATTTTTCATTATCAGGCTGGATAAAAATTAAAGAAATCAATTCATACTAAGATGAATATTATTTTTAATTGTTTAAATTATCAGGTAATTTTAATAATCCAAAAATGACTTAAGAAAACTTATGTGCATTTCAGTTATTTTACAAGATCTCATCTTTAGGAAATTAAATCATTGTCACATCATATAGTTATACATTCCCAAGTATAAATATAGATTTTTCAAACAATCCCTTTATAAAAAAAGAAACATTGGACATAGCTTGTGATATCTAATTGTGGCATTATATTTTAGTAGAAAAAACAGATACTTCGATCTCAATTTCAATAACATTTTACTAAGGTTTTGATCAAATAAAATTTAATATAAATTTAGAAGTAAATCAATTTAATATGGTTTAATTTAAATTACTTTATGGAAATATTTTCTAATCTTAGATAAACTAATTAATTATCAAAATTATAGGTTTAAAGTTATAGATTTGTCCAAATAGAGATTAACAAAATATAAATTGTCATCCCACTTGTAAGGAATGTGATGGTCCAACAAAAGAAGATTGTCTATCATGTTTTGAAACAAAAAATAGAATATATTTACCAGATTTTAAAGAATGTATCTGTGAGTATGGTACAATCGATTAGAATGGCGATTGCATTTATTATTAATCTTTATAATTTAATTTAATTTAAGAAAAGTCATATATTGAACAATGTTTATATGGTTATTTTCAAATAAATGATGATTGTTATTAATGGTACTATTTTATTATATTCAAGTCCATCAATAATCAGCAATAAACTTATAACATGTTTAGAATGTATATAAAATCCGAAATAATGGGGTCAAACTCTTTTTTGTGAAACAATATTATTGACTGATAAAAATGGAAACACTTCAAACTATTTGAAGCATGATAAATTGTAATATAATTTGGTAGGAAATGATGTATAATTATGTGTTGATTGCAATTCAATAAATCCATCAGATGATTAAATTGAATCGAGATTTTAATTTAGATAATTGTGTCAATCAATACAGAAAGATTGTTATCCATGTCCAGAATTCTGTCTAAAATGTGAACTTTTAGCTACAATTTTAAGTTGTTCAAATTCATAAATTATACATTTTCCACTTTAGACTTAATAAATTTGTGAGCCTCCTAATTTTGTAGATTTTTATTAAAAATGTGTTGCTTGTAATATTTAGCATTGTTTATATTGTTTTAATTATTTAGCAAATAATCCTTAATAAACTACTTTGGGATTTTATGAAGAATAAACTCTAATTGATGAAGATATTAAAGAAGGTTGTGCTTAATGTAAAGAAGGATTCATTTTTGATTTCAAAATTGGACAATGTATTTATTAGAGACCATCATAATAAAATTGTTTGAGATCCTATATTAATTTTAATGATAAAGAAATTTGCACATTATCTGCAATTAATGATTTTAGTTTTGCTTTTGAGATCATTAATTGTCAAATACACATTTTAAATTGTTTACAATGCATCTAAACTATATAACAAACTGTAAAATGTTTAATTTGTGAAGATGGTTATTTAGCTTCATCTAATTCAGGAATTTGTAGAAAATGCCCTATTGAATTTGCAAAATAATGTTTTGAAGAATATAAGTTAGAACCTTGGAAATGGTTAATTCAAGGTTTTATCATCAAATACTTACCTAATAGACCTATTTTTACTGGATAATTAAATAGACCAAGGTTCTTAGCAATTTAATGCATACAAGGATATGAAAAAATTAACTATACCTGCTAAAAATATTGTGATGAAATGTGTTCTGTATGTGAACCTAGTAACAATGAAAGAAAGTTTTCTTGTTCTAAGTGTAAATTAAATTATTTCAAAGAGCCTTTAAGAGTACAACTAGATGGATAATGTATTAATTGCCCTTCTTTATGTCAAGTTTGCTAAGAAAGATCAAAGGAAGAAATAAATGTAAATATTCTATTTATAATAGACAATAAATCCATATTTTATAATAACGCCTGAAAATATGTTTTATACTTTTAAATGCATTTAGAAAATCCCTTTATAAAAAGTTCAGATTGACCCAAACTTAAAAATTGCATAATTTTGTTATTAAAATAGTTGTGTTTATAATTTAGAATTTAATTATGTATTTTTTACATTTAATTTAGGGTAATATTGATTGCAATTATTTGACTGATATTCAATATTAATTAAGTAAATAATATAATTATGAATATTTCAATTAAATAGGGCTTTAATAATTGACATTAATACTTTAAATACCAGAAAAAATTTGTGAAATTTACAAATCGGAATTCTATATTGAAAATTCTTAAAAAGAAAACATATTTTCAATTCAATTAGTAAGATTATAAATTCAGGGCAAATCAAATCTTATTTAGATAAAAACAAATCAATTTAAATTGTTCTTTTAAAAATATGATTCAATCATATTAACTTAACTAATGTTTAGTATAAAAAGTGAATTGATTTTATTATTTGAAAATAGAGGTTTATCAGTTGATTTAGAGATAATTGATACACAATTTTATTCAATGACGAATTTACCAATATCTATGTCTATTCAAGGAGAGAGTTTCCTTAACATAAATTTATAAAATATTTCAATTTTTTCTGTTAGCATTGAAAATTAAGTGATATTTAATCTTATTTATACAGATTAGAAGAATTAAATAGTAATTAAGAATTTTCAACTTTAGCATTGTATTTTCAAAAATTCTACTCTATTTTTATTCTAAAATGCAAAAAGAAGCATATATATTGAAAATTTTACTATTGATTCTTGTGAATTTTATAATTCTTCAATTATACATTTCAATCAAATTCAGAATAAGTTATCTAGCATTATTTTAAATGGAATTGTGATCAAAAATTCTCTTTTTAATAATTCAAATCTTATTTAAAGCATTGATAAAACTATTCTTACTATTAGCAAGTTTTAAATTACATAAAATTAGATTATCAATTCCAAAGTTATCATTTTTAATTACGACTTTTATTGTAATGATGTATTCATGAAGGAAAACAAATTCATATCAATTTAATTTATTTCATAGATCTCATCAGCACTTTTCAATTCAGTAATTTAGATGAATAACATAAAGATTCTAGAAAATTATTTATAAAATTTTTCTTTATTTATTACAGAATAAAAATAGTCAACATCTTAAGTCAGATATTTGTTAAATGACCTTTATTTTGAGAATAATTTTATTTCTTGTTATTAAGAGTAGTTTCTTATAACAATTAACAGCTTTAGCTCAACTATTAAAAATATCTTTCTAAGAAACACTACAAATTATCGTTTCATATCTTTATAAGCTATTCCATTTATAAAAATTGAAAACATCATATATGAGAATTTACTTTAGGAATAAAAAGTCTAAATATCGTCTGATTGTTTCAAAAATTGTTTTACTCGATCATAATTACTATAAGTTTTTGGATTCACAAACATCACTCTAAATAAAATTACAATTACAAATTAGTTTAGCATTGATTAGTCTATAATTTCTATACAATCTAATCCTCTAATGATATTGAATTCAAAGGAATATATATCAATTATAGATATGAAAATGAAGGGAAATGTATTATTAAAATAACTTTAAGGAATAAGTTTTTCACTTTTTGAATTATAATCTGATAAGCCTTAATTAATAAATATTGATAATCTAAAATACGAATAGAATGTTTTTCATTAATATCATAAAGATCCATCTAAAACTTCAGCCAGTCTTTTGTATGTCAATTCACCTTTGAGTCTCATGATATTCAATAATATCCATTCTTATAATAATTCTATGACAAATTCTTCATAATCATATTTTTCTCTAATTTTATTGGAAATCTAAATAGATAATTTTTAAGTTTACAATCATAATTTTAATAATAAGGCATTTTGGATAGAATATTATGAAATTCATTTAAAGGAGGAGTATAATTAAAATGAAATTTCTTATGTAATTTCATAGTCATTCAAAATTGATACTATTGGAGGAGCTTTATCATTAACAGTTACTAAACTCACTCTTTTTAATGGAGTATTTAATTATATCATAGCTTAAAGCAGCTAAGTATTTAATATCAATACTTAAGGAGATGGAATAGTAATTATAAAAAACTGTAGTATAGCTCATGCGTATACTTCCTTAATTTCTAAAGTTCAAAATGATGGTGCATTTACAATTAATGGCAAAAATAGTTTATTATCAATTAATCTTTAAAATATTACTTTAATTAATGTTTAAAACAAGCTATCATCATCCATTTTTTCCATATATCCTTCATCTACAGAAAATAATATCCAATTTAGAAATATAATTGTTTAAGATTGTTTCTCCCTTGTTAATTAAATAATAAATTTTGAAGCTGATTTTTAGAATGCCCAATAAAATAAAGTGAGAATAGACAATTTAAGAATAATTTAGAATGAATATGCCTTGCTCAATTTTCTTTAATCTCTTGGATAAATCAGTCTAATTGAAATGCATAAAATTATTAGTGATAATGCAATCCTGAACTTTTAAGGATGTGAATTATTTTTAAATGGAATTCAAATAGAAGGAATAGTTTTATTTTCTATCATAAAAGTTTTAGATTCCAAATTGTTTGCATTAATTGATTGTAAATTTATAAATGTTTTAACATTTTATCCTTTACATTTAGTGGATATATAACAGGACAATATTTAATAGTCAAGAATATATTTTAATAATATTACAATTTAAAATTTAAATGATTTTGCTTATACCAAACAGAGCTTACATTAATTTGATTATAACTATATTGAATTAGAATTTATTTAATGTAGCTTAATAAGTAATAATGTAGTATAAATGATTCATAAAGTAGAGTTATTACAAACCTTTTTTGATACTATTGTTACTCATTCAAATTAAAATGGATCTTTAATCAAATTGAGAACTGTTACAAATCAAACAAGAGTAATATTCTAAAAGATTCTATTATTAAATAACAATTGTCAAAATTGTTGGAATGGTTTAGTTTTTTTTGAGTTTACTGATTTTCAGTAAGTTTCAATATCAGAATTATTTTGTTTAAATAATTAAATTAAAGATTATGGTTGTATATGGGCTAAATCAGGGAGAAGAATTGACAATATATTAATAATTGATTAGTCAACTTTCATTGCTAACAAAGGAAGATTAGGATCAGGAATTTTAGTCTAAAATTTACGAGTAAGAATATCAAATTCCAAAATTATAAATAATACAGCTTCTTTTAGAGGAGGTGGTTTCTATTTTGAAGAAGGTACTTAAAGATTTGAAATTTAATCTACATTAATTATAAATAATTAAGCCGAGGAAGCAGGTGGTATTTATTTAGGTGGAAATAGCAGCTTAAATACTAACAATTTTATAAAGTCTCTGCTCTTACTTAATTTTGCTAATTTAGCTTCAAATAATATTAATGAATTACCTAAACATTTATCTTTATCAATTAATTAGGTAGAAATGTTTTAGCAAGAAATAATAAATGAAAACCGATCATATTAAGTTTTACTAATAAAACCATTTAATATTATATATTAAGATCATTCAATATAAACTAATTATTTATTTATTCCAAGTGGATAATAAATATTAAATTTTGAACTTTATCATCCTCACCATTTGAAATTTTCTTCTTATATTACTGAATTCACTATAAAACTTAAGAATAGTAGGAATGAATAATAAATAAATTTTTTAAATTCTAGTTGTGATGTAAAATAACAAATTTTTGATATTCAATCATAAAATGTAATTGAATTGATCACAATATCAACAATAAGTTTTAATTAATAAATTAAAAGCTTTAATATAGGTTCACTATAATTTCATCTGGATCCATACAACTAGGAAGATAAAATATATGAAATTTTAATATATTGTAAAACAGAATATTAATAGGAAAGTTTGGCCTATCGAATGAAGGTTAAAAGTTTCTTATGCCAATTAGGTGAATTTTATATTTCCCATGGATGCTAAAAATGTTAATCAGAATAAGGATTTTATTCAGTGACTTATAATGCCACAAAATGTTCACTTTTTGATAAAAATAGATTTGAAGCCATAACATCCAATAAAATTAACTTAAAGTCTGGATTTTGGAGACCGAGTTAAATTACTGAAAACGTAGAGTTATGCTATAAAAATCCAAGTCATTGTTTAGGAGGATGGGTTGTAGGTGATGAACTTTGTTTTGTTGGTCATATAGGAGGATTGTGTGAAGAATGTGATAAATATAATTTAAGAGGGAATGGATAATTCTTTAAAAATTAGTAATAATTGGATTGTTAAAAGTGTGATTAGCTTTCTAAAAGATTGATAGCCTTTTTCTTAATATCAATTTGGTATTTATAATTAATATTTTGTTAGGGCTATTCTTACTACACTATTAACTATTCGAAGTATTGAAAAAACAAATTAACTCTATGCATAACTAAAGCTTAGATAAAACTAAAAGTTTGCTGAAATTTTATTTAAACTCCAATAAGGTATAATTAAATATTCATATTAGATCATGAAAGTATTTTAATAAAATTATTTCTTAATTATTTATGGATTTTTTCAGTTATCTTTACATTCAATATCAGTTTCTCACTATCTTTAGACTTTGTAAAACCATCAAATGATACCTCATATTTTATGGCTAATTTTTTTGAATGTTTATTAGCTGAAATATAAGGGATTGAATTAATTTACAGCAGAATCTTAGTAATGTTTGGAATTATGGTCTGTTAGATTTTGATTATTTTTTGTGGATTCTAATTATTATCAGTTCTAAAATACTATAAATTTTAGAGTAGAATCATTTCAATTACTGTTTCCTATTTATATATCTAAAATTACGCATCCTTAATGAATCAGTAAAAATTAATATTATAATAGATTTTTTTCAATTCTGGCAGTTAGAAGAATATCAGATTTAGATTATATATAAGGAGATATATCCTTGATTTATGGTTCTTAGAATCATATCTCTTGGATTTACGGATTTGTAATTCCTGGATCCCTTTTAATAGGATTAATTCTACCTTTATCATTATTTTTACTTCTGTACATAAATAGAGCTTAGCATAAAAAAATTAATTTTAGAAGACATATAGGATATTTATTTAATGAATATAATCAAAAAAACTATTTTTGGGAAATTATCAAATTATGGAAGAAAACAATAATCATAATTATTTTAATTTATTTTGAAACTGATATATTTTTGAAAGCAGTATTATTAGATCTTTGTATATTGATTTATTCAATAATTGCTCAAAAGTATAAACCATACATTCTTCATAAGTTTAACTTATTAGACATCTAAAGTGGATAGTTTTGCTAGATTGCTATATTATTAGCAATTTTAAAGCATATTTGTGAATAATAAGATTAATAAAATATTTCATTTATCATACAATCTTTTATCTTTATAGATAGCTTTATCTTGGGTTACCCATTCATAAGTGATATTCTCAAAGTTTATTATAAAAAATATAAGTTACAAATAATTTAATTGTTATTAAAAGGATTTCAAGCTTTGAAACCTAATTTTGTTGTTACTAAATTACTTAAATAAAAATTAAATTTTTTGAGATAAAAAGAAAAAAAAATTTAAAGTAATATAGAAAAATTGAAATCAATTCTATTTTAGAGCAATTCTAAAATCCATTTGTAATTTTATGAATTATTTTTAGACCAAAAAGTTCTTTATCATTAATGAATACAAACAGAGAATAACGAATTTCGCTTAAAACTTTAGAGGTCTAGTAAGAAAAATTAATTTGATTGATTATCATAAATTTGTAATAATATACAAAATAATTTTAAAATCATTTAGTTAAATAAAATAAAGAAAAAAATAAGATGGTATTTTTAGTTAAATATATCAATAAATTAATTAGTTATAAATATCAAAATAGTATTTTATTATTTTTATTTACTTTCCTCTAATGTGTTATA